ACCAAAATTCCATTTCTTCAGCCCAGGCATCCCTCGTTAATTAAATTGGCATCTGTTTCTACTATTCAGTGTATTTGCATTATCTCTCCAGAACCGTCCAAGTAATCGCTGATTTTTTCGCGCGTGCTATTCCCTAATAAGCGATGCTCAGCAAGGCGAACAACTCGCGTTATTGTGATACTGTCTTTCATTCACACCGTTCACTTCTGAGAGTCTGAGTGTTTATATAGTCAGAAAAGGGCACTGCAGACATCCTTCACTCCGTCACAGCCGTCGCTCGCTCTTCTGCTTCCCTCAGTGACTGTATTTCACATGCTTACATTACTGCGTTCAGCATAACAGTATGGGAAAAGGCGTGAACGAGGCTATGAAATTAGCTCATACCATTGTTGTACGTAGAATCGTCGACTGGAAGTTCATGACGGACATTTACCTCCTCCCAGACGTAACTGCCCTCATCTTTTTTGAAGTGAATACTGTCTGCAGTCTGGCCAAAGCGCGCTGATACCTTGCATTGCCTTCACTTTCGTTGCTTCATTTTCAGACCCATTTGCTTCGTTTCCTAAGCATCTGCACCGATGAAGTAAATAGATTAAAAAAAAAGTGATATTCTTTGTCTTTTTAAAATGCATCGAAAGTGATAGATTATTGTAAATATGAGATACGATAGCGATGAGTTTATCGTTTTTTTACTAATTTTATTGCTACTGAGTTTAAAATGGTGCCAAGTCTCACTCCTTTTCTTTGGCAGTTTAATTGTTCAAAGTAAGTTTTTAGTGATTTTTCACGTTTGACTTGTTATAGTGCAAGTGGGAAAGAGAGCTGGCTGCTGCATTTCTTGAGAACGACATTTTTTGACTGAAATTTCATCTTGTTCTGAACCGCATTCAGATCCTTTTGCGAAGCGATAAACGGCAAGCAGCATCGAATTTTGGCGATCGGCAATTGTTAAAGAATCTCGGCTTATGGCTAGGTGCACTCACAATCGCCCGCGACCATCCTATTGTTACTGCGGTAAAAATTTCTCATCAACTTTTTTCTCCAAACATTCAGTGCCTGTTTGGCTAGTGACCACTCAGGCAATTTTGTCATTTCAGGATTTGGATATGAAAACACTCCTGATGGAAGCGTATTATAAAGGACAGCAGGAACTGCTCTATGTCGTTCCATTTGTTGCAAAGATTCTCGCCTCGTGTAGTAAAAGTGTGGTACGATTTTGTGTGCTGTGAGGCCCAGTAACACTTTGAAAGTAAAATGTGCGTAACGAGATTTGTTATTTACAGATTTTCGGTCCAAACTGTGCGTGGATAAGGGCAATTTTCAAAATTTTGGCCGAACTTCACTGTCAGCCGGACTTAAAGCTCAATTTGAAATTTGAAATCGAAGTGCTGTGTAAGGAATTAGGTGTCGATCTTACCAAATTGGCCACGGAAGACGTGCTAAAGGACACGGAACGCCTTATAAAGCTCCCGCAACAACTTAGCGATTTGAAAGCGCTGAAACAACCCGATCTACAGGTTTATCTTTCACTCGGCATTATTGCGACTATCCCGTTGTGAGCCGTAACAAGCTGATTCTATGCCTTTCGCGTTTCTTTTCAGGTGCCAACATCGCCTGTGCCAGCATTGCGTCCTGAGGTTCCGGAGGCAGTTGCGCACGGCATACCACAGTCGTCGTCTGCTGCTGCTGCTGCTGCTGCTGCTGCTGCTGATGTTGACAATCTCATCGGCAGCCTAACGAATATTTCGATGCCAAGTTAGCGAGTGTTTATTTGTGACAATTTAACATTTTTTTCTGTCAGAGGGGGGAGGGGGCACGATCAGTGCTGCTTACAACCTTCCTGCGCTGTTTTTGGGCTGTGACAGTGACAGTACGGTGAAGGAGAGCTAGGTATGCCGGGTGTTAATCCTGTTATGTGTATGGAAGCGCCTGGCTTTGGATGCAGGGAGCACTAAACCAACAGTTGCCTCTTACTCGTAATTCACTTTTTTTTTGATGTGTGATGCGCATTGTACACGGCACTGGTCCTCATATTTCTTTCGATTTCAGGCAGTCAGTCGCCAAGCAGCGCACAAATGCAAGCGCATGCGCACTTCCATTATC